GTATAGGAAAGATATAACATCGTAGTAACCTGATTTTTATGGGCATTGATAAATCATGACATTTGAATAACTTGGCCATTTTTTGAAATGCAGATCTTGCTTTCTCTATTCTACATTTGATTTCTATGGAATGGTCCCAATTTTCATTGACGTTCGTACCAAGGTAGGTGTATGTTTTTACTCTTTCTATTTGTTGACCGTTTACACTGATTTGTTCAAATTGCTGTTCCTTCTTAGAGATCATCATGCATTTTGTTTTCTTGGTGTTTAGTGAAAGTCCGTATCTCTGACTGACCTCTGTGATTCTGTTCATTAACTCCTGGAGGGCTTCAGAGCTGTCAGCAAATACTACCGTGTCGTCCGCGTATCTAATGTTATTGATTAATTCTCCGTTGATTCGAATTCCGGCTTCAACATCACCCACTGCTTCTTGAAAGATTTCCTCAGAGTATATATTAAACAGCAGTGGTGATAGTATACATCCCTGACGGACGCCACGTTTGATTTTGATGTCGTCGGATTCTCCTGCCTCTGTCCGGATAGATGATGTTTGATTCCAGTACAGATTGCTGACAATTCTTAAATCACAAGTGTTTATTCCAATATTGGTTAGTATCTCCATCAGCTTGTCGTGCTTTACTGTATCGAACGCTTTATGGTAGTCAATGAAGCACGCATAAATGTCGCAGTTCACGTCTCTACATCGTTGGAATAGCACTTGTATACTAAAGAGAGCCTCTCTCGTACCCACTGCATTCCGAAAACCAAACTGTGTACGGCTGATTTTTTCTTCGCACAGTCTATATATCCTTTGATGTATGATTTTTAGAAATAATTTTAAAATATGACTCATTAAGCTGATGGTTCGGAAATCACTGCAGGATACGGATTTTGTTTTCTTTGGTAAAGTAATAAAGGTCGACTTAAGCCATGTTCTTGGTATTACTCCGCTTAAGTATATATCATTAAATACCTTTGTTAGGTGTTGAATACCGTCGGTGTTAAATAGTTTTATGAGCTCAGCATATGCATTGTCAGGTCCAGGAGCTTTGCCATCTTTTAGTTGTAATATGGCTTTTTGCACTTCATCTGATGTGATTGGTAAGTGGTCATCACATATGTAAGATGGAGGTTGTTCGGATCTAGTATCATCAAAGAGTTCTTGTATGTATTTTGTCCATATGCGGATTTCTTGATTTTTGTCTGTGATGATATTCCCCTGTTGGTCTCGCAGTTTGTTAGCTGTGTTGGATTTCTGAAGACCAGCTGCTTGTTTCACCTTTTTATGCATGTTAAACGTATCATGTTTTTGTTCTAACAGCTCTATCTCTTCACACTGTGATTTTAACCAATTTTCTTTGGCCTTTCGTATTTCGGTTCTTATTTGTCTCTGAATCTTGTTGTACATTATTTTGTTGTTCTTTGATTTTCTTCTTTCTTCCATAAGTTGCAGTATATTGTCATTCATCCAACTTTTTTTCTTATCTTTCTTTTCTGTAAGATGTTCTTCTCTGATCTTGTTAAATGTTTCACATATATTTTGGAGTGATTCTTCGGCATTATATGTTTGCTCCATATTACTTAGCTTTTCTGAAAGAATCTGTGCGACTGTTTCTTTTGTTTTGTTATCTTTTAGTCTTCTCATATCGCACTTTTTGTTACTATTCTTTTTTGTGACCTTCTTGAATCTAAACCTAAATTTACCAACAACCGGAACATGATCTGATGATACGTCCGCACCGGGGTAACTCTTAGCTGATAGGCATCCATTACGAAATCTTTTGTTCACCATTATGTAGTCAATTTGATTCCGTATTACGTGTCCTGGTTGATCTTGCGGGGAGACCCAGGTATACAAGCGTCTTGGTGGTAGTTTGAAGAATGTATTTAGTATTGCAAATTCTTCTTCCTCTACAAACAGTTTTAATCTTTCTCCCCTTTCATTTCTCTGCCCTAGACCAAAATCACCTATGAATTCTCCGTAGATATCCATACAACGTAGATACCCTGAAAAATTTCCCAACCGTGATCCCACTCACTCAACATTTATAGCTCTCCATTAATTATTAAGAGAGACACGTTAAGTGGTCCCAAAAAATAATGAAAGAGTTCGACATGATTAGGTAGTAGCAGCACATGAAGATAATATTTTAATAAAAGTTGAGAAAAATCCAGAAGTAAACGTTAGAAGACCATGTATCCTACAATTTTAAAATCTTCCGTGGGAAATATCTTACACAATGAAAATTTGTATTCATTTCATTTTACAAAGGTATAAGTACTGCTAAAAGGAGATTTTCCTGCTCGTAAAGAATTCGTTTCTTCTTCTCGTAGTTCCTTCTCCTATCGGAGAATGGCTATCATCACAGCTGTCCGTACCTTATTGGCGGCTGCTCTGAAAAGATCTACTGAGCTGCAATACCACTCTCTTAGGTTTCTTAGCCAAAAAATTGTTCGTCTTTCTATGGATCCTACCTTGCAATATTAGCCTTAATATTATCTCATATTTCTCACCTCTGCTGTGACCTAAATGTTCCAACTTTCTTGTTTTGATGTGCTTTATGACCTCGTAATCCTTTTGTAGATTTCTTAACACTTCTTGTCTTGCATTTTTAACTCATTGAGCCCATGGTATTTTCAAAATCCTTCTATAGCACAACATCCCTAATAAATAAAAAAAAATCTCAAATGATTCCAACTTCTTTATATCATCCACTTTTAGTATCTATCTTTCCATTCCATACAATAAAGTCGAGAACATGTAGCATCTTAAGGCTCTTATCCTCAGCTCCAGAGGAAGGTCTCGATTAACAAACCTTGTTTTCGTTTTTATAAATGCTTGTGTTGCAATTTCAATGTGAATCCTTATTTTTCTAACTTGATCATTGTTTTCATTTACCCAGGTTCCCAGATATTTGTAGTTAGTCACTCTTTCTACTTGCTTTCCCTCGATATCTATCCTTCCTACTGTATGTTGCTTAGAAATAATCATGCACTTAAATTTCTTAACGTACATTTGTAGTCCATATTTTATATTGACTATTTAATAACCATCTACTTGCTTCTAGACTGTCTGTAAAAACAGCGGTATTGTCAGCGAATCTTATGTTGTTCAAGATTTTTCCGTTTATTGATGTACCCCATTTTTCTTCTGATATTGTTTCCTTAAAAATAGCTTCGCTGTACAGATTGAATAACAATGGAGATAACACGCAATACTGTCTAAAACATTTTTTGATTTCTGTAGTTTCTGTATCGATATTTTCGATTCTAACCTTTGCTTTTTGATTCTAGTACAGACTTACAATATCCACATTCTTTTTTTTTTTAACAGTTTACGAGTTTTTCATGTCGTACTCTATCAAAAACCTTTTGATAATCAGAAACAGAGCTTCTTTCGTTCCTAGTCCTTCTCTGAATCCAAACTGGGTATCATCTATATATTCTTCTATTTTTTGTATATTCTTCCATGTATTATTTTGAGAAAGAATTCGCTAGATGATTCCAAAATCAGAAAAATCAATATGATAGCGTGCCATGCCACTGGTTTAAAGTGTAAACTGTATGAGTTTTTAAAGCATGTGTCGATGGATATTGTTAATAATATACATATTTTCAGTTGTAAAACCAACGTCGTTTTGCTATAACTCTACTTTACTTTATCTTTGATCCCTTGAGTTTTTAACAGCGAGAAACTAATTTGCGACCATTTTTTGTGCAGGAAATCGTATACCATTATATTAAGAAAAAAATTAGCCTTAATTTAATATAAAAAACATGCATATACGTAATGAGCAGCGTATTTTATTTAAAAAATAAAAGAAAGAAATAAAAATTCAAAAATTAATTGCTGTTAATTGAATTAAAAATATTTGCGTCTTTTTTTTGACTGGTAGCCTATTATCAATATATTAAGGCCAGTAAATGAACGTGTAATTTTTCTTGTTACCATCGAATTGCATGAAAATTTGGATTTAGGTTCGACTTACCCTTCACTGTACTTTTGGACTTGTGCCGTTGGTTGCTTTTTATTTTTAGGAGTAAAAATGCCCATATTAAATCGTATAATTGTAAATTAAAGCGGGTTATTGATTTAAATAATCTTTTAATGAAGTAAATGAATTTCAATTACAATTATGATACACTATACGCGTTCTGACATCTCCTAAAATATGTGATTGGCTTTACACTGGGAAATGGGTTAGTTCTTAAGCTATAAGTTAGTGTTTAAGCTGTGTTGTTTAAAAAACATTTTCTAGGTTTTTTAAGGGTAATAAGATGTTAAAATTAATTTGTTTTAATCCCTCATTTTTGAAAGGGTTGCAGTAAAAAGGGTTTGAACGAGTCGCTAATCGCGAATGTACGCAAAATTTAAACAGCCATATTTATTGACAAGATGCAACTTACAGATCATACAAACAATACATGAATAAAGTAAATTGTAAAGAAGTAACGATTAATTTCCTTTGTGGTGCGATTTAGGGGGTGATTTTTAGGATTTTTTTTTATTAAAAAAAAGGAACAACTTTTTGGTTACTTCACGTTAAAATAGTTGATTTGGAAATCTACAAATAAGAACCTACTTTTCATGACCTACAACTCTATTTTTACAAGGTCTACAGACTTCTTAAATACACCATTTTTTTAAGCTACATTTTTGCTACGAATAATTTTTGATAAAATACTTACTTTTTGTGTTATATATTAGTGAAAAACAGTCTAATTGATAAAAGATATCTAAAGTCCATTAATAAAAAAATTGACCTGAGTGAAAAAACTCAAAGTATAGAACAAAAGCCAGATATTGACAGCTAACTGATGACAGTTATTAGCACACGATCAAGTTATATCAGTATAAATATATCTTCGGAAATCGTTCTCTAAGAACGATTTTTGAAGATTGAAACGTCAATATACTTATTTTACCCTTCAATTGTGGCTTATTCCCATTAAAATAGTAATTATATTTAATTTTTTAAATACTTTATTTTGTTTTGTAGCCACCCGTTCCAAATGATCCTTGGGAGGGACAACTGAACGCCACTGGTGTCCATGCCGAATGTCCTCAAAGAGATGTGTATAGAAGATCTCCCAAAATATCAGGCGAAGAAGACTGCCTGTACTTGAATGTGTATACGCCAAAGGTAATGATTGAATATCTTAAACGTTATGTTATGAACTAAAAATCAATGTTAAGAAAACAAAACATTTTCCGATTTAGGGCAATCTCATGGCTATAGAGTTTTATGGCTATATATTGAGGTAATATTAGCCTAGGTAGTTCAGAGGTTTTGCTTTTGGTACTGGATGATCTGAGTTCGGTTTACACTACAAAATCAAAAAGTGTCGTCCGGGTCGCCGCTTCGAATGCAATGAAGAACAGCAAAATCGTAATCTCAACTAGTACAAAGGAGTTGCCTACGCTTAAATTTGGATATAACACATTAATAAGAATAATGTACCGAAGTGCTCTTTAGCGATAGAGGAAATAAATGACGTATTAATAGAAACTGGATATTTAGTCAATTATTCTTGGTATAAATAATACAACAACAGCCAACACTTCCGGTAGGGAGCAAACCAACTTTCAAGTTTTTCTTCTTCTTTCTCTTTTTATATATGTAGATATGACTCTGTATGTTTGACAATGTGCCTCCAGTAAGGCCTATATGATCGTTTCATTCTACTCTTCAATTTTTTACCCATTACATGATGTTCTCCACCTTACATCTAAGTCGTATATCTGTACTTCGAACTCCATATTGTTCCATAATATATATACTTTTATCAGTTTGTAAGTGACCCGTACATCCTGAATCAATCACAAATTCTAAGTTCTTCACTGTTTCGCTATTTATTTTATTTTTACTTTCTTTTTCTTTTTCCTTCTTGTATATAGGCTTTAAAGCCTAGTTGTTTCTTGTCTAGGCTTGTTTCTTCTTCAATATTAGCCTCCTAAATGGTTTAAATTATCGCACCATCTTTTTCTTGGTCTGCCAATACTTCTTCGTCCATTTGGTGACTTACTTCATGCTATTCTTACTATCCTATCCTCTGCCATTCTACTAACGTGTTCGTTTCACTCCTGTTTCCATTTTGTCGTTAATCCATTTATGTCTTCTATATTGCATCCTCTTCTTATGTTTTAGCTTCTCTCCTTATCCAACAGACTCTTCCCTGATATTCGTCGAAGTAGTTTCATCTCTGTTTTTTCTATTAGTCGTCGCGTTTTTTATGTTTCAGGTCTTGTCTCCGCCATATATGTTAATATAGGTCAATTGCTGCTTTATAGGTTATATTCCCAGATGTCTAAACCTTGCTTCCTGCTTTATTATTTTTCCATCAATTGCGATTTTACATCATAATGTGTATTTAGATGTTTTCATACATTTAGTTTTTTCTGCTGATATTATCATATTGTATTTCTGACTGTTGTTTTTTAATTTTTACCTATTTTATTTATAAAACATATTTTAGACAGTTCATTAGTTATTTTATTAATATCATGTGACGCTTCTGCTGTTTTGTGAAGTTGCTTCTATGAATTTCTCTGTTGTGATGTATGTTTCTCATACTCCTGTAACTGATACCTCTATTTGACCCATGTTCTCTAAGGTCATTGAAAAACAATCGATGAAAACCCCTTTGACTCTGAAAATGTTATCTTTAATTATTTGTAAATCTACTAGTTCCTCTTGGGTCTCTTTTTACATCGATAACAAGATGTGTCATCATTGAAAAAAACTTGTTTAGTATCAACTACTTAACTTGCTTTTAAACCCAGGCCCCTCTTTTCTTCTTCACTCGATACCCTTTTCTTTGCCTCTTCATGATAGTATATTAGATTATAAATTTTCGATGACGGTTACCACTGTTTCATAGTATTTAAGCAAAGTTAACAAAAAATTATATATTATATCTTGATCTTTAATTTTTACCACAGAGGCTTTTAACTGCCTCAGAATTCTGTCAGTCACCAATAATACTCTCCAATGCAAAATCCTTTTTCAATTTCATGTACCACAACGTTTGTTTAGGAACAATTGTCTTGGTAGCCCATTTTTCTCATATTTTTCTTCTTAACTTTTCCTCATATGCTAGGTGTGTTTTTTTGTCCCGCACTATCTCTAACTGTGCATCCGAAACACATTGAACAATTATTGATTTCGCTTTATTATTGTTGTATTTATGAAATTTTTACAGCTCACTCTCACTTAAACCTGTTTTCCTTTTTACACACTCTAATACTTCATTTTCTGCTAACATTATTTCCATTCGAAACTTTTATGATAAGTATGCCTCCCCTGTTAGGGAGGGACTCAATGTTATACATTTTCCTTGTGCCATACTATACATATGCATATAGACTATATTCATTTATTGATACCTGATTATTATTTTTTATCCGTAAACTGAGCTCATAAACTTTTATTTTTTTTATTATCAATTTCAATATTCAATAAAAACAGCTCCTCTCTTATTGTCAGTTTATTTTACTGGATTATTCAGGATTACAGACGATACACTTACAAATTTTAAACTACATCTTACAACAACTACAACTATCATCTGTCAGTTTATTCTTCCCCTTTTTACTATCTTACAACAACTACAACTATCATCTGTCAGTTAAAGGAAAAACGACAGGAAGCAACAAGGAAGTTTTGAAGAATTTACAACTAAATATTACCATGTTAAAATGGAAAATAGAGTAGGAGGATTGTGAAAATTAAAACAAAATAAAATTAAAAAAAATAAATTTTGACGTCAATGTGCAAGGTTTAATAAGAATAGGGATGCTATAGAAATAGTATATAAGAAATTAATTAGTAAAAAACTTTAAAGTACTGGAAAAATTAAATTTCAAGACAAAACTTCTATATTCAGAAAATCTATTATCCAATACCTCATAAATTATATATCTTTGATTGACGAGATAAATCTATTGGAATTTCATAATAAATAGAAATCATCAATCAATAAACTGCAAAACAATCTTGAAACAAGTTAGCTGTATAAAATGCACTTACAACATTCTCACGATTGCAAAAGCTACGTAACTTAAAAACACCATTAGCCAAGATTCAAAGATAAATATATATCGAATACAGGACATAAAGAATAGTAATTTTATGATACTATCGAAGAAAACGCTAAGAGCTTCCAATATTTTCAATAATATCCTTAATATATTGCACAGCTTGGTGATCAACATAGTTACTCGTAATGTATGTTAAATGTATGCAACATCTTTATTAAAAAGCTAACTCTCCTGGAGGCAACCTTCAACAGAAAACAAATTATAATTGCATAGCTAATGAATAAATGGTAAAAAATAAGAATAGCCACGAAAATTGTATTAAAAGCATCACGAATAACTAAACCAACTGATTTGCAAAACTTTCTAAATCTAAAAGGTATATTATACAAACGACTCTGAAAAATATTTGCATTTAAAATTAACAAAAAAACGCAGTCACCTGGGAATGCCTACTAGATGTAAAATATTGACATTAGTGATTAGTGGCTATGTTACTGGCTTAACAAGCCGGAGAGCCCGGGTTTGAATCCCGGCACTTACAAAATTTTCAAGTTCTAATTTAACTGAGCATATAAAAAATCCTTATACAACCAGTGTTCACATATGGATCGGAGACATGAACCATTTCCAAGGCAGATGAAAACCTCCTGCTTATATTTGAACGAAGGATCCCGAGAAGAATATTCGGTGGCATCTGTGAAAATGGTGTTTGGAGAAGGAGGTACAACTATGAGATATATTACAGATATAAATATATATTTGGTGGTAAAGACGTAGTATCTCTCATAAAAATAGGAAGACTAAGATGGACAGGACATCTGACAAGATCACCGCAGAACAACCCTCCTAGAAGGATCCTTATGTCACAACCTGTGGGAAGTAGAAGTAGGGGTAGGCCAAAACTCAGATAGAGAGATGGTGTAGATGAGGATGGTAGAAAAATAGGCGCAGCAAACTGGCAACAGTTGGCAATGGATAGAACTGATTGGCGTAATAGACTTGGGAAGGTCGAGGCTATTTTATAGGGCTGTAGCACCAACGATAATTATGATGAATTTAACTGAGCTGCCACCATGCTTCGGAGGGCACGTAAAGCCGTCGGTCCCGGCTACGAAAGTAGTCGTTAAGTCATGTTAGGGGCGCTTGCGCGACCTGAAAACCGTAACACTAGACCTTAGCCAGAAGGTTACATGAACTTTACTTTACTTTTTTACCAAGAGGAAACACCACAATCGTCATCATCATCAGTAGCTTGACAACCCTTTCTGGGTCCTGGCTTGTTCTAGGATTTTCCGCCTTTCTGTTCTGTTCCTTGCTTTGTTTTTCCAGTTAGTAATCTTAAGTGTTTTCAGATCTTGTTCCACTTGTTCCATGTATCTTAGTTTGGGTCTTCCCTTTGACCTTCTCCCTACTGGTGTTTGCCTCATTATATGTTTTGGCGTTTTAGTCTCCAATATACGTTTAACATGGCTCATCTAGCGCAGACGTCCAATCTTTATGGATGATATGATCTCGGGTTCATTGTATGCTATGTATAGTTCAAAGATATATCATCTGCGCCATATGTCATTTTCCTTTACCCCCTTATATATGTTTCTAAGGATTTTTCGTTCAAATGTACCTAATAGATTCTATCGCTTTTCGATGGTGTCCATGTCTCTGATCCATATACAAGGACCAGTTTTATCAGAGTCTTGTATATTTTGCATTTGGTTTTTCTTGTGATGTTATTAGATCTTAGATGTTTAATCAGTCGATTATACGTTTTATTAGCGATATGTATTCTTCTCTTAACTTCTTTACTGATATTGTTATCTGTGGTAACTAGTGAACCTATATATGTAAAACTTTTCACGCTCTCGATGTTATAGTCTCCTATTGTCAGATTCTGTATTTGAACAGCGGTTCAAAGAAAATATAAAAATAAAACGAAACAGATCAACTGTTCCAGCACTAGACTTTTTATGTTTTGCAATTATAGCACGTTCCTGGTAATATGTCGTGCTCAGATTTTTTATTTTGTTCTTCACATCTTGAGGACCAAAATCATCTGTTTACATTTCTTTTGTTCTTCATACAACTCCACAAACTTTTATCTTGTCTCATTCCACATGTTTTTGATGAAATTCAAAAACTTAAAAAGCGATTTCACATGACTGATTCTTGACAGCGAGTAGTATTTAATTAAACGACTATTTAAATGAAGTAAGTGTAAGGTCGTTTAAGTATGGTCCCACCAATACTGCATTGCGTTGTGGGAGACGCCTTTTTAAACAAGTAAGTTGGATGGCTTTGAAGTTACTTGACTCGCTTGGCTGCTGTTTTAAGTTCTTGATCCAGCGCTTAACTATTTATCTACACGATTTAAGTTCCTGATTTCCAGTTACTTGCTTAAGTAACTTGAACAGCTATTCGACTCATGTAAACGTTACTTTACTCTGTGGGAGAACTACAAAGCACCCGATGAAGACGCAATAGAAATCTAACACATACAATTAGATGCCTAGAGATTGCTACAAGCATTAAAAAATTCGTATTCAATGAATGTAGGGTAGAAGGGATATCACCATATCAGTAAAATACCGATCCATCAGCTTGTTATCATCACGTCATGTATACAAATTTTTCACGACGATTATTACCAAATTTATATAAATTCTAAGGTAAATAAATACCAAGCACGCAATCAAGCAAGAATTAGGTCAGAATAAGGTACAAATGATCACTTACTAGTTCAAGAACCTTATAGACAAAAGGGGTACAATACAAAACTTATGGGGTACAATAAGTCACTCGCCCTACTATTTATAGACTATGAGGAAGCGTTTCATGTATGTATTAATATGATGCTTTAAGCTTAACCAAACTGTAGAGCGGACTATTAATACAGTACAATAGTCAAAGATATCTATGAGAATGCTACAGCAAATGTTAGGCTCCACGAAGAAACTAAGCACTTTCGAATTAAAAAAGAAGTACGTTAAGGAGGTACTATATCCCCAAAATAATTTACCACAGTACTGGAATATAGATGCAGATAGGTAATTTGGAATAACTTAGACTTAAATATCAATGACGAAATTCTAACGAATTTGATATTTGCTAATGACAGTTATAATAGTAGACTATGTTGATAAGATCAAGTAAATGCTTGAGAGACTGCATGGAGCCTTGCCATACTTGGTTCTAAGCGGAAGTATAGACATTGTTAGAACTGAGATAGAATAGGTACTGCTTCGTGTATATATGTAAGCCATAAAATAGATATTGGTATAAATCAAACATGCGAACTTTATCGAAGATTAGGACTGATATCTACTTTGATCACCTGCTAGACACAATTAAATCAAATCTTCATATGTGTTTAAACAACAACCATCAATCAATGTGTCCTGCTTATTCTCAGTTACGGTGCAGAAATTCCAATCCGGCCAATGTTTATAATGAGGAAAGTTCAAAAGAAATTATTAGAATACATAAACCGGCATTAATTTGTGGAACTTAAGAAGGTATTTGACAGATTGAAATTAAAAGAGAATATCCACTATTGCATATATAGAATTGGCAAGAGAGATACCTTCAGACATAATCAAAACGATCGAAAATATCACAATAAAAGTGTCCAAAACAACACATAATATGTAAAAGAAAAAGAACTAACTAACCCAACTAAAGCTGATAATGGGATAAGACAGGGAGACTTCATGAGTCCTCTATTGTTTAATTTATTTATAAATGAAATAATAAAAAAAGTAAGAACTTATAGGCTAGGATAGCAAATGAGAGAAAAACTACCTAAAATAATCTGCTGCGCAGGCAAGGCAATAATATCTGAAAGTAAAGATGATTTACAATGTATGCTGCATCAATTTAATATAATCGCCAGAAAATGTAATGTGTTAATTTCCCCAAACAGATAAAATGCATGGTCATAACAACAAATCCACTAAGATGTAAATTAGAGTTTACGGGTCCGATAATAGACAAATAATGGAGTTTAAATCTGGTTTAAATATCTAGGCATCACATTATCTAGCTACGGAAAGCTCGAAACAAAAGTAGAACATCAAGTTAATAGAGCAAACAGAGCCGCAGATTACCCGAATAAAATAATATAGAGAAATAAAAATATCGCGAAAAAAGAAAAGATTTACAAAACAATCATTAGACCAATATTAGCAGATGCGATCGAAATATGACCTGATACAGAGAGGTCAAAAAAGAAATAGCAGAGATAAAATTCTTAGAAAAATCGATGGTAAGACACTATAAGATCTAAAGAAAAAACATACGAAAAGTATACGATGGAGATGCAAGGTGGAAAACATCAAGGACTGTGTAAGAAATATAAGATTGGAATGGAACAATTAAATAAGAATAAAGACAACAAATAGAGTAATAGAGGTAGGTTTAATAAAGATAATAAATATAAAGATAATAAAGAGGCGTTTTTCCAATAGGAAGACGATCAGGGTGAAGACCGCGAAAACAATGGAACGACAGCTTACTCGAGGCATATTCAAAAACAGTCACGTCGACACAAAAAGAAAAAGACAAAGGAGAAAATTGAATTAGAAGGAGATGCCGTGAGAAAGGACGATAATAAGTAACCTAAAAGAATTATCTAATAAAGACCAGGAGAAAATGCCTTTAAAAATTGGGCCGTATTCCAATGAGATGCAACGACAATTTATAACGCGTACTAAAAAACTGAGTTTAAAGTATACAGTATATACAAATATGGAGGTATTAAAGAGAGGCTTACATCCAGCAGTGGACATATCTGTAAGCTGAATAATGATTTGATGAAACGAGGAAGTAGCAAATAATAAGAAGAATTACAGTAGAAGAGATTGTCGTACGTCCGGTTCATCCTCAAAGTTATTTGGATGGTTTCCAGCCGCCGCTCTAGAGGAGAAACGAAGGTTTTTCGATTTCATCCTCTTGTTCGTGGAGTTATGTCCTTGACTTGCACTTAGCGAGAAACTCACCGGAGGCTCTGTTGTCAGCAAAGTGCTACCGGTAGAGTAGAATACCTAAACAGTTTGAATTTCTTACGTGAATTGTATAAATATTTATGATACATGAAATATGGGTTAGTATTCTAAGCACAGTAGATGCCTCGAATCTCACAGTGATACCGGTCCCTATTCCCGGTGATAGAAAGCATCAGCGTGTAACCAAGTTCACACTCCTCGAGGTATAAGACCGTCAGCAGAGTGTTGACTCTTCGACTGACCCTGGATTGCAGAGTAATTATAAGCTCTTTCGGGTCTTTTATTTATTTTCACAATCACGCTTGATATCGAAGGACTTACTCCGTACCGTCACCTTTCACGAAATAATCCTTTATTTAGTTCTAAGTCACCTCCGTCACCTAAGTCCCGTAAGACCTTTATTTATTTCTAACGATTGGTTTGGCGTCAAAGTGTTGCTTCAGCCTGTTCACCGATTGAGACGTAATTCTAAGTCCACCCAGGCGTTTCTTTACTCCTAACCGTCGGTGGTCTATTGAAACATTGTGTCAGTTCGACACGATCCGAAATAGTTTTAAGACAACCTGTCTTTTCTCTCTTTCGAGGATCAATGTCTCCCTGGTCAGTGAGTGTTTTCTCTGCGCTGTTTAATGGAGTTTGCGAAGTAATTACAAGTCCTTTGCCAGACTTTTCTTTACCTCTACAAAAGATAATCGAAAAGTCAACAAACGCCGATTCCTACACTTTTTGTGGCTTGAATAATGTAGCCGTCAAGCTTCGTATTCATTCAAACTCTAAATAGCTTTTAGAACCTTCTTCGAAGTGAAGTCTTTCTTGTTTAATGAAATTTTCACACATGTGAGAAATAAAACGCAGAAAGTTGAAAAAGGCTACTTAGCCGACTAGATCTTGACGGGTATCAGCGTGTAGACTGACTTTATCCCAATCGGAAGATGCGCTGCCTTTTAAAGCGTTTCTTGATTGCAACTCAGCAGCTATTTTCCGTCGAAAGGCCAATACAAATACAGTTAATAACACCGTTTGTTATTGGCCAGCCAGAGTGACAATCTTCACTACGATTGGTCCACTGGCGACAGGATCATGTGTGTCATCATACGAGATCAAGTGTTTTCCGTCATGGCATTGAAGTCGGCTTTACTCGTACGATTTTAAATATATATCAATGTTTATAATCACTTCATCATTTTTACTTACTCTCTTACTGCTTGTAAAGCATAGGCTATTTTTACGATGCTATAGAAGAAATTCGAGGCTTTTGATAGTTTGTCTACTAAGTACTCCTATTGTATCCTGTTTTTCGATAGCCCTGTAATTAATTTCATTATTCTTCTTTTCGGATGTTTCTCTTGCTGTATACTTTTCATCTTGTTTTGTGGTCTATTTGCTTGTTTATTTTAGTCTAGAATGACATTTAGGGCCCGTTTCATTATATTCTATTTGGCCAGAAAATGTACCACATAATTCGAAGACGTCTATTTACGAATGTTTGAGTTTGTTTTTCTGATATTCTCCTGATGGTGACTTATTTTATAGTCACCTACACTCCTCATATTGTTTTTCAATTGTTTATAAAAAGAATTTTGTTTTATTTTTATTGATGTATCTATTAATCTATTATACTACTATTATTATATAATCTATTATAATACTATTATGCTACTCTTGTCTGTTAGTTTGTTTTGGCTCCATTTGATTACTTTGAGAACCACAGGCTTGTTCTCTATGCAACATATATATATATATATATATATATATATATATATATATATATATATATATATAATTATTGTATTACACGTTGTTGTCAATCTCACCCAATTTTCCTATTTTGTTCTTTCTGACAGATAACTCCATCAAGCAGTAATACACGTGACTATATTCTAAACTTCTTACTGTGAATGAAATATTTTTAAGTTTATAGTAATGTCTCAGACTCGTTTTTTAACTCCACTATCTACAATAATTATCTCTTTTACAGTTATCAAACTTTGAAAATGATCTGCTGCCTGTAATGATATGGTTTCATGGTGGTGGACTTCTATGCGGTGGTGGCAATTCGGATTGGTACGGACCTGATATTTTGTTAGACAGGGACATTGTTCTCGTAGTAACAAATTACAGATTAGGTAAGAACATTATATATTAGAAATGAGTTTTGAAACAATTTTCTTGTTACGTCTTAATATGCCATTACCTTTGTGATTGGGAAAAATTGCAATTTAAAAAGTGAAACTTAGCCTCAGAAGAAATACATTTCGAAACAAATAAATGATCTTGTTTCATACGTTACGTGCGAAAAAAAAAACCCACATTTAATGCCTCACTTATTATGACAATTTTGAATTTTTTTTTCCGGAACGACTTTGTATATAACTAAGATGGTTTATTTATTTACACGATATCAACTATAACTAAACAAAAATAATGATAACATGCAACCATCTTTAAGAAGACCGCACAGTTTCATATACCCAATTGATTTTATGGAAACTTTTGTGTTAGTAATTTAGTTATAAAACATTATCATAAGGAAAAATCTTAAAAACTGATAAACTGATAAAAATTGATACTATATCCCGATATAGTATCAATTTATTATTTTTTTATTTATTTACAATTAAGGCGCATCAACCTATGTGGTTATTAGCGCCGCTCGTTATTACAACTCTTTTTACATTTTTGGATCTTCTTCTTCTTCTTTGTCAACCATTTTCCATCCACTCCTGAATGTAGGTCTCTCCCAATTGCTTCCATCTTTCTCTATCTTGCGCCAATCTAATCCACTGTTTGCCTGCCACTGCTCTTATGTCATCTACCCATCTTTTTTGAGGTCTTCCCATGCTTCTTGTTGTCGTTCTTGGTCTCCATTCTAGAATTCTCCGTGTCCACCTGTTGTCATTATATCGGGCTACGTGACCTGCCCAGCGTCATTTCATTTTTGTAATTTCTTCCACAATATCCCTAATCTTCGTTCTACGTCGTATCTCGGTGTTTCTAATCTTGTCTCTTAGTGATATTCCAAGCATGATTCGTTCCATTGCTCTTTGCGTTGTTTCTAATTTTTTGGCAGATTTTTTGGTAAGTGCTACTGTCTCCAAGCCGTAGGTACAAACAGGTAGTATGCATGTGTTATACACCTTTTTCTTTAAGTTTATAGGAATGGAGGTGTTTTTCAAGATATGTGCTAGTTTGCCGAAAGCGCCCCAAGCCAGTTGTGTTCTTCTTTTAATTTCAGCATCTTGATTTGGTTTTCCTAGTTTGATGACATGATCTAGATATACATAATGTTCCACATTTTCTATGGTATGATTTTGTATTGTTATATTTGTCTGGTCTCGGCTCAGTATTTTTGTTTTGCTGTAATTCATTTTTAAGCCTACCGCTCCTGAAACTGCATTTAATTGTTGTAACATATCATTTAGTTCTTGGATATTATCGGCTATTAAAACTATGTCATCTGCGAATCTCAAATAGTTTAAGTATGATCCGTCGACGTTGATACCCTTATTGTTCCATTCCAGTTTCTTAAAAATATATTCTAGAGCAAGGGTAAATAGTTTGGGAGAGATGGTGTCTCCTTGTCTTACTCCCCGTTGTAGTCTTATGGGATTAGTTTTTGTGCTTTCGTCCAGCTTTATATGCATGGTGGCATTTTCATATATGTTTTTAATTATGTTAATGTATCTTGAATCTATGCGTGCATTTTCTAGAGATTCAAGCACTGCCCATAATTCGATGGAATCGAATGCTTTATGGAAATCGACGAACGCCATATGAATTGGAACATTATACTCGGTGCATTTTTCTATCAGTGTTCTTACGGTGTGCAAGTGGTCTATGGTATTAAAATGTTTTCTGAATCCAGCCTGCTCGATAGGTTGATAGAAATCGAGCTTATGTGTTAGGCGGTTGGTTATGATTTTAGTTAGTAATTTATACAGATGTGATAGCAAGGATATTGGTCGGTAATTCTCGATGTTTGCTCTGTTTCCTTTCTTGAATAATAAAATGACCTCGGAGTTGTACCATTCTTGAGGAATCTTTCCTTCGTCAATTACTTTATTAAATAAAACATTTAATACCTGTTCCATTTTTGGATACTTAATATATACTGAGTTTGACATACATAGATTTTTGCATATATAAATCTGAGTTAAACTAAGTACATTGGTTAATGGAAGCATTGACTATTACACATTTATTTGTACACGCACTGATGTTTATATTTGGTTGTATATTCCTATTGATTTTAAACAACGACAACAACTGACGAATAGACACAGTTTTCTTTTAGATACTCGCGTAGCGTTATCGGTAAGTTACACTTTTTCCTCTCATTTGAACATGGACATGAAATATTTGAGTATGAATATGGACATTCGATTAAGCAATGTTGGACACTTAAACTGTTGAAACACTTACCGCACATTGGATGAACACTTCCAGTAATATGGTATTCATGTGTGAAGCGTGTATGTCCTAATCTCAGTCTGTTTATTATAGTTCGGTCTTTCCTGTTGCTACACATATTCTTTTATCTTGTAACTGTTGTTTTTATGTCTCGTAGTTTTTGTTTAGATTGATTCCATTATTGAAGCCTCCGTTCTTTCAATGTCGAGTTAATCTAGTGATGAAAATCTTTCTTATAGGTAGGTTCTGTCAAGTCTTTGTTGTTACTGAAGAGTTGGCGGCAGCATCTACTCTTCCATTATCATTTATACCTATATATGACGGAATCCACATAAATTTTACAATTTATGTAGATTTTTTTGAACTGTTGTGAACTTGTTGTGAAGTTGGTACAAATCGTTCTTTATCAATTGCAACATTGGATGAGTTGGGCAAATGTTGCCTAAGCTACTCATGGAACTTAAAGAATTTGTCATTATTAGACACCTGTCTAAGTTGGCGTTCAGTGCATATTCTAATGCATGTTCTAATGTTATATATACAGTTCTCCTGTATATACAATATAGTCGTTGTGTATAAGAGCACATCACACTCCTTTTTCTAATTTGATGATAAATATGTTGCTTAAAATTTAAATGTTTGTCAAAATTAATTCCAAGGAATTTGATATAATACACAATATTTAATTTTTGTATTAAAGATTGTAAGTTCTGGACAAGGACTACTAACATTACGTTTTCTGGTGAAATTTACCTTTACTTTTGTTGGAACAAAATTTCATTCCCGTTTTCATTGACCATTTTTCTACTGCAGAAATGGTATCTTGTAAGGTTTGTTTAATTAGTTCTATGTTTCTTCTTTTACAATAAATTATTAGATCATCTGCGTATAGCCTACTCTTTACTGGTGTAGTATCATTTTCCATAATACTGTAAATGGCAATAAAAAAAAGAGTAACACTAATAGATGATACTTGAGGGGTACCATTTTCCTGTATTCTTGTTTTAGAACTAAAATCATCCACTTTTACTTGAAAGCTTCGGTTTTTTTAAAAAGGTAATGATAAAGTTTAACACAATATTTCCTTGTATACCTAATTTCTGTAAAGTTTTAATTATTTCATGGCGCCAAACTGTATCAAATGCTCTGGTTATATCAAAAATAACTCTATGCAGCTTTGATTATTTGTTAGCGCTTCATGTATTTCAGTCTCGAGGTCAACTAAGTTGTCTAGAGCTGATCTATCTTGTAACGAATATATTTTGCCTAGCACATAGTGTATGTTTGGGAGTTTTAAATATTGGGGACAGAAGTTACTGGGGTAAGAGATGGAAGAAGCAAAATCAATCGATACTTATGCGAACGGCACTCAGGGTTTGTTTTAAGAGCAGGGATCGTGGATAAGTACATGGCAAGTGGGTTGGATTGGGTCTACTACAAAAAAATGAAACAAAGGGGTTACTTATATGAATCTCTTGAAACAAAAAAAAAATCAAAAGGAATCACCTCTAGCAATTTAAAAAGGACGCCACTTAGTGTTACCAAATTATAACGATTACAACAGCTAGTTGTAACTATTAAAATAATTATTCGAAATAAAAAATATATATTTTTACATGAAACTCAAAAGAGGGGGTTAAAGAGAGAAATAAACAAAATGGCTAGAAAAAAATTAAACATTTATTGTGTCTCACCACAAACAGTTATAAAATAGACAATGCAAACATATTATAGCAATAGTCGCAAAATACAAAAATACAAAGAAAAACTTATATGTGTCCTATCTGTTTACAATGGGGAATTGCTACAAAAACTTTCAAAATTGTTACTGCATGGAGGTTAACCTTTTTCAAAACAAAACAAACTAATAAAAAAAAATGATAAAGCTAGCTGGCATACGTTAACATTAAATTTTAAATCTGAGAACAAATAAATTGACAGCTAAAGTTAAACCCTAAAATTTACAATTTTACATATTACAATTTTTAATCTATATGAAAACAACTATTGTTATAAAAAATGTCTATCGTTACTTTTGACTTTTAACACAAAAAACCTGGGGATTTTTACCTGGATTGCACTGGGGTTTTACACTAAAATTCTGGGTGTAGAACTGGAACTCAAACTCTGACACACGAACAAAAGGACTGCATCTCACACTGCGAATTACTTAGTGATGAAAGTTGGGGCACTGGAACACAAACTTTGGAAACTTTTCTCCTTAAAAAACTGGAACAGGTAGAATTGGACTGCAACTACACATTGAATTGCTACTATTAACTGCCACAATACTTATTTTCCATAACGTAAAGCGAAGAACAAAGAAACATTTCAAATTTGACAAACAATTTGGACATACGCTAGAAGCAGTTGCCTCTGACAACGCTCCAGCGAGAGTGAGTATTTTTCTTTAAATTCATTCGCAAAAGTGGGCATAAACAAAACACTTACAATAGGAATATTTATTTAAAACGCAGTATCGAGCTGCTTAACGGTCTTAAAAGGAATTAAAATATATTTCGGGTATTTTAACTTTTACGAAAGTAAAGAGAAATACACGGAAATCATTATTCGATACTTTAGCAAATACGAGGTGATTTCAATATATTTCAATACATATTTCAAAGAATTTGCAAATGCTACAATCTTTACGAAATCCACTTTGTTTGTTAGATAGAACAGATCTTTGCTCGAGTATCCAAATAAGGTATTAGTT